GAGCCTAGCTATTTGGAAACTCTAAAAAAAGATAAGGAAACCAAATGGCCAATTGAAGAAAAACCAATGGAACTGATGCCCCAAGATGGATTCCTTCTTTTGGCAACCTCGCTTTTGCTTGATCTCCTCAAAAAACTACAATGTAAGCCGTTTGAAATATAGTAGTGGCGAGTGCTAATTGATCATCGTAAATTTCTAGGTTTATTATATGGGTTGTTTCATTTTCGTAAAGCTTTAGACTGGCTCGGAGTCACTATTATCTGCCTACACTGGATAAAGAAAATTGGGCTGGCTTACAGTCCTTCGAATCACCATCTTCGTCTTCGCCTCTTACATCTTCTATCTTCCGGGGGAGGTCTTATTTGTCCCCAGCTTGTTATAGCTCACTTGGAGAGTTTAGAAGTCAAACAGCTTCTTCTTCTATCTCTTGGGTAACTTTTACTAACTATCAATTCTACATCCTCAAATTGGATTTGTCGATCACACATTTTTCGTCTCTGGGTCTTATATTTTTGTTTGAAGACGGTTTATAAACGTTTATATTATTAAAATATACTCAAAAATAAGAAAATTTAATTTCGAGACTAGAATAGTAGCCAATTTAAATCAGAATTACTTTACCCTTGCTTAGCAGTATAGTTTTAAAATTTAAATTTGATGCTTTCGGCAATCTTTTTTATTCATAAATACATCCTTAGATCCAGGGTTTACTTAATTAAACAACCATTGCAAGAAGGCATTTTTTGAGCTGCTCTTATTTGCTGTGACATTCCTGAAAATCTATACTTTTCTACCTCCTGAAGTTATTGAGTTAATAAGGAATATGAGGTAGGTATTGCTCCTTACACCTTTGCCCTATCTAAGAAGATAGCAAAATTTCAATATTACAATATATTAGATCCTAAATATAAAGATTATACTAGTTGGTCGCAATTTCATTTAACTTTATAGGTCGGCTCTACCTCGTTTTTGCAACTTGGTCTAGGTAGCAGAGTGACCTTGCAGGGTATACCCAATTTCGTGTCCTATGTCAGAAATTATGCTTCCAGCATCGAACCGTTGACTTGTTACTTTCCCAGATGCTTCGTCGGCATCCCTAGCACTCTTGTGGCTGATCAAAGTGACAATTTGAGGCAATCCCTTTTACAAATTTTCCATTAAACTGTTAAAGCATTCCTGTACTGGCTCATAGCGCGACATTTCTATCCCTCAATCCTACTTCATATAGCCAATTAAGATGTAATTAGGTAAGTTGGTAATATGAAGTGTGATTAAAAATAGGGTTTAAGCACTAGGACCTAGAACAAGAAGAACGAGAGATGCCTTGACCGTTGAACATAAAATTGGCTAAGGGCGTTGATTTTACTTGTTATTGATAAGTTGTAGTTCTGTGCTAGAGATGACGCCTTTCACTGACAATGCCGATTAATATGCCAGCGAAGCGTCTGGCAATGTACTATGTTAACAGTCTGATGCTGGAAATTAGGGATACTATGGCAGCAAATTCAGGGCGGGGTATGCTCCACAGCGTCTCTATTTTTCCGACTAAGCTTCACAGATGAGCTAAATTGATTATCTAAATTAAGCTGAGCTTACACTAGTCAGTGAAATTCCTCTTATTTAGATACGAAGAGAAACTGGGTTTCCTCTTATTTACATAGTTTATGTACGAAGTGGGATTCTTAATAATTTGTTTTGATTGAGCCTTATTCTGACAGAATTAAGTGTAACCTTTTTATGGGCATGCCTATCTTTTTTGTAGCCGTGATTAAACTAGGCGCTTTGGATCCTGATACCTTTAGGATTGGATATGCATTTTGGGCAATCGGATCTATTCAACTTGTAGATAAATGTCAACTCATTGTTAAGCCACTGTATTTTCTTTTCTACTCAAAAAATCCATGCGAAAATTTTTACTTTTTATCATGCAATTAAATTAGTTTTTACTCAGTGGTTTATTAAATCAGGAAAGCACTATACATCTTTCCTACAATCCCAGTCTATCAGCTTCATTATATATATTTATATGCTTTAGTTTTTGCATTTAATCGTGTTTGGTTTTTTTTTCACCTTAAATTATGAACTTATTTCCTTTCATTTGTACAGATTGCTCCTTTCTGATATCCTTGTAGTTTCGTTGCTTAAATTTAAAATATTGCTTAGAGGAACGCATCTAGTCCGAAGTCTATTGTATGCATGATCATTTTCAGAGTCGGTTCGTGGATTTGGTGCATTTCCAGACGCTTCGCCAGCATCGTCACTGAGTCTCGCCATTATTAGCACCACACAACAACTCGTCAAAGAGAAAAATGAAGCCGATTATTTGACTAAACGTGTACTAAACAGTTGTGGTATCTCCCCTTCTGCCCTGGGCTATTCACATTTCCTATATCCTCCTATCATGCCTTCACTGTTACAATTTTACCGTGCTTATTTAGATGTGGTGTGAGCGGCATTCGTGAAAACCCTTCACACTACACTTGTGTTCTCACCCTCTTCACCCTTGTGCCGGGAATGTTGATCAGAGTCTGATATATTGTTACGCAGTCCTCCTTCCCTAGGTCTTATCACAGTCTCTCTCTTGCTCTGTAAGATCCGTTTGCTATATCCAAGGGTCACGTATTTCATTCGACCCTTGTCACCCCATCTCCGCTACTCGAGGCGTCACTCGCCCTCCTCTGCCTCTGGGCGACTAATTCAAGGCCAAAGCCTCTGAGTAAGCCTCATGGTCACGCCTTTGCTACATGGACCATGTCTATGGTAAAACCTATTGTCAGCCAACTAGATCCAGTCTCCGCCGTGTCTATCCTGTTTCTATCTGTAATACCAAGTCTCTGACTTGCTATGCCTTAGTCTCTAGTGTGCTTGCTTTGAATAGGTTCAATGTTAAACCACAATGTTTGTGTGTAGGTTGATTTTTCTTCTTGTTTCACCAATATACTTCTGACCATAATTGCCGCATTTGATGCTATAGATTCCTGAGAAATCCATCTTGTCAACCTTCTCGTGTTGCATTGGCAGGCTGGTGAAGAATGTTGTCTTTTCTTTTGCTATAATCTAGATATTCCATTGTCTTGGCAACTTTCGCAATTTTCGGCTCAGTTCACAGAAGGGTAGGCATATCCACTTTTTGTCGCTCCTTGATTTCTGATATTATTTCCATAAAATCCTAGCTAAAATCTGCTTTTTATGACCACTATATTTCTTTCTATAAATTCTTTGGGGTACCCGTTACTAAGGCAAATTTAAGTCAATTTCTCCATAGTTCCAGAATTCAGTGTTCGTTAGTATTAAACCTCTGATGAACACACTCATTATTCCAATCTTCACACTATAGTTATGATGAAACTTGAAATTGAGGTTTATTCCCGCATGTAATTTCTTTCTGAACAAGGCAACTGTAGAAACTGACCCGGATTTACCTCAGTACGAGGGCATTAGAAAATTTATAGGAATAAAAATGAAGATTACCGGACACAGGTAAGGTTAATTTTAGAAAAAGATATTACAAGGAGACTAGATAGAAACAATTAGCAGCCAGGTGGAGATTTATACAATGAGTCTTAAAATTAAGGGTGGTCGGCATGCAAGATAGCTGGGTATAAGAAAGTCACAAACTTGGTATTAGGGATATTAGAGCGAGAGAAACGATGGGGACCATTGGTAGTTAGGTATTAGTGGATAAGTTTGCTCATAGATGTGGGGAGTGTGAATAAGCTTAGATAAACAAGTACGAAATTGTGATATTGAAGGGGTGATACGTGGATGTAGGGTAGGTGAATATTGCAGAACAAAATGATATACCACAACTTTTTAGAAGACAATTGGTCAAAGGATCGACTTCACTTGTCTATTTGATGAGTTGTAGTGTGTTGCTATGACTGGCAAGGCTCACTGATGATGCCGGCGAAACGTCTGGGGGTGTATCAAGTCCACGATTCGACAAAAAATTATCATGCATACTATGCACTTCGGACAAGTTTTGTTCCTCTAGTTCTTGCCAATATGATCAGGTTGCGAGAACAAATTCTAATAATTTCTATACAACGAAAGGAAACTGCGACCATATGCTATGCATATGGTACAATAATTACACTAGTCGCTGATGCCAATTACTACTTTTTCCTCTAGCATTATGTGTAATTGCGAAATATTTTAAGTTGTACTTAGCTATGAATGAAGCTAAATATTTTATAAATGTTGACCTTCAGGTTCCTTTATCTCGAATTTTTATCTGCCTTAACTAGCTGTGTTGTTGGTTATGATTAAAACAACTAATAGAACAATTTGGCTAAAGATGAATACCAACCAATGTTTTTTATTCTATCCTAAGTTTTCGCGGCGCACATTTGCACTATTTGGTTCACGTTGACTCCACCATTTTAGTATATGCATTAAAAGAGGAACTATTTATTAGGGCCTATGAATTTACCATACTTATTCAACATTGCTTTTCCTTTACAGATATCTCGCTATTTCCCCAGGTCCTCTGCTGACTCTCGAAATCCCTGCTCCTGGAAATGACTGGATAAATCTTCGCAATGCTCTCTTGGTTAGCTGCTTACCTTTTTGGGTATTCTGGTTATCAGAACAGGA